GGAAACGCGGCCCAGGTGCCGCCCAGGTGCGGGCCGGCCCACCGCGGGAGGTGCGGGCGTGCGCGGGGCTGGAGCTGCCGGTCCAGCACGGAGGAGACCGCGCAGGCAGTCAGACGAAGTGCGGGGAGAGACATGTTTTGGAGACACTACCCCAAATTTCTCTTTTCCCCCTTCTATTTCTCCTGGAAGTGATTCATTCACCCCGAAAGCAATTTTCAAAATCTTGCTATTTAAAAATCGGATTCACCTTGAATTCGAGTTTTTAGCCTCTCCCTCTTTGCTCAGTCAGGGCTGGAACCCATGGCTCAGGGCAATGTACAGCATTCCTAGAAAATGTGTAGAGGACACTGTTTTCTGTCAGATTTAGTTCACTAAATTAAGCACCCCGCCCAACCACACACACACACAGAAGCCAAAGCTTTTGCTTCAGTGATAAGATGGTAAAAGGCTACTTGATGAACTAGAGCATGTGAAGATGTGAAAATCTGAAGCCTGGGACAAACAAGGATTCTGATCACGTTTCACAGAGCAGTAATGTCAGCACTCCCGTGACGCGCGTGTCCTGGCTGCTGGCTCACAGGTGCTTTCTCTAGGTAGGGAGGAAGCAGGTTTATTCATGTTTTTTATCTAGGACATCTGCTGTGACAGAGGTGGCCAGCTTCTCTGCTAAAGAAACAAAGTCCAACTTGCAGAAATCTAAAAATGTTTAAATAAGAGGAAAAATTAATAAGGAAATGTCATTGCACCTAAACTCAACACAAAGCTCTTGTGGAAAGCGTGTGTTTCAAATTTTAAGTTCAAAATTTAAAACGTTTAGAAAAAAGTATGTCAATTTTTATTTTTAAAAGATTTAGAAATAAGTACGTAAACTTCTTCTGGACTGCTTGCAAACATAAGTTTCAAAAAGTGAAACGATGGATGCTTCCTGTCCTTATCTAAGAAATTCTAAAGCCCTGGCTGGTTTTCTCAGTGGTTAGAGCATCAGGCCTGCAGACCAAAGGGCTGGGTTCAGTTCTGGGCAAGGGCTCGACCCCTTGCAGGAGGCCACCAATCACTGTGTCTCTTTCACATCGATGTTTCTCTCTCTCTCCCTCCTTTCCATTCTCTCTCAAAAGCAATGGAAAAGATATCCTCAGATGAGGATTAAAAAGAATAATAATAGTAAAAACAAAAATAATCAAAAGTAGTAGAAACAATTAAAATTATAAAAAATCATTTCTAAAGCTTTAACCTAATAAAAGTACCAATGAGAAAAATGCACATAATTCCCTTAGTAACAACAGAGTTCCCAACTCTTATCCCCAATGCAGACTTTTAATTTTTCATTCTTCCCAAATCACTGAAAAACTACAGAATGACATAAAAACATCCAACTTCTCTATTTTCCTAGATTAAAGTACACAGTTTATGAATTACTTTGAATTTTGTAATTCTGCACTTAAGATAATTGAAAATTTGAATTTTAATTGCATCTGGAGCTACCATTAAAAAGAAAAGCTTACGGCCACCCAACTATATGGATACCAAAAGAAGCTTGCCTACCGAATACAGGCAGGGTGAGAGGGAAAATAAGGGGAAAATAGCAAACATGAAGGACGTCCCACTTCCTCAAAGACACTCCTTCATTTCTCCCTTTTTACATGGGAAAATACTTCAAGATTCACTAATATGACTTCTAGCCAACAGGGGTCAATATGGCAATTTACATAACACTTCAACTTCTCTACTTATCCCTGCTTGCTACCCCTTTTTGTTTTTTTCCTTCAAAGTTTCTGATTGGTTTAATAAAGAAAACACAACAGCCCTTGCCAGTGTGGCTCTGTGTTTAGAGCATGGGCCCTCACACAGAAGGGTCAAGGGTTCTATTTTCAGTCAAAGGCACGTATGTAGTTTTGGTTTGGTTTCAGGAAGCAACCAGTGGATCTGTGTCTCTCACATCAATATTCTCTCTCTCTCCCTCCCTCTCTCTCTCTTTCCCCATCTCCTGTTCACTCTCTCTGAAAAGCAATGGGAAAAATAGCCTCAGGTGAAGATTAACAACAACAAAAAAATGAAAACACAACAGTTTAAAATGAAAAATACTAAGGACCCTATCAGCATTTTGATAGTTATTAAGAGACATTATTACTAATAGCAGTTATCAATTATTGAGCACCTACTAGCATGGCCATTGATACCTTACTGCACTGTCTAAATATTCACAATTGTGTAAGGCAGAAGTTGTATTACTTAAAATTTACAGATAGGAAAAATGAGGGAGAGCTCTGGAGTTCCTATGAATTCTTTCTGGGTTCATATACTGGCCCTTCCACTGCAAACTGTGAGCAACTTACCTAACTGATCACCACCACAGTTTAAAACGCCAGGCTTCTTCTAAGGATTATATGAAAAGATCCACAGAAAGCACTTGGTATAAAGCACTTGGTATAACACAAAATAAACACTATAAGTAAGTGTCCTCTATCAAGCCAAGCAATTCAGATCAATTCTTATCTGAGAAATTTATCACCAAGTTGAAGAAGATGTGGGGACCAAGAGAATGGCAGGCAATTCCTGACATCTCCCCCCAAGCTCTTCGGCTATAGCTAACACATTTTACCACACTCTCTTCATCCATCAGTCCTAACCCCTTCTAGATCAGGCAGTTTCTGATACCCATAATTGGTCTGGGTTTCCCAAAGGTTCGAATGAGTCACCGACAAAAGTCAAAACTGCTAGCTGAGAAAGTACAGTGTTCTGATACTCAAATTTGGGCAGCATTTTGAAAGTGCTCCTTACACAAAGGGCACTGTCTATAAATAAGAGTACAACAAAAACTCAAACATCTGGTTTTACCTACCAGGCCATAATAAAGAACCTGATGACTTCTTACCTAAATATCCCTCCTCTACACTCAAAAATATAAAAAGAAAATGACCCAATACAATTTACATTTAGGTAATGTAATTATCTTAACATGGCAGTGTGCCTTGCATTCGATTCATTAGCTCTCCTGTCAGTGCACTTCTGATGTCTTGTAGCTCTGAGGATCTTCAGGATCTGTGTGCATGGATAAGCAGTATGTTTTATGAGGTTTGAGTAATGAGGGCTCAAGTTATCAAACGGTTCCTGATTGCCTACCCTACACCAGGCACTTGGCTAGGCACCAGGGTGAACACAATATAGTAGTTTTGCTGAGGACATGAGAAGAGTAAGAAGTAGGGGGAAACATTTAATTCATCAAAATGCTCTTATGGAAAAACATGTAACCACCAATTAGATTGTTTGTAGCTTAAGAACTAGGCCGTCAGAAGTGAAGTGCTGCCAAGTTCTGAGCATTTCATCCCTTCCAGGGATGTATTTAAAATATGGCCTTACTTCACCATCCAAATTTA